GTGTTCATCCAGCCCTGCACCTTGTTGTCTAGCAATGTACATGAAGCTGTCTTTCCCCATGTAGCAATGCAAAGAAACAGGAACAATGTTATTATGTTAGTAAGTGAACTGTTCCAAAGAAAAATGGGCATCAAAATCTTAAAGGCCAACACATTCCACAATAGAGCACTGCAGGTCCAGTATTCCCAGTCAACTATATAACCAATCCAATTGGCTCCCAACATCACTTCATCATTTAGCATGAAATTACTGTAACAAGCTGTTTTGGTTTTAATCTATTCTTGGGAAATAGGTTTACTTGCTGTGACACCCACAAGGGTGTCTCTAAAAGTCTCTTTAAGTCTCTAAAATAAGAGAAAAAAATAATTTGCTTAGTCAAGAAAATTTATGGCAGAGGCTATTGTAGTGAACAAACATTGGAAACAAATTTTTAAGCTTAACTGAATTTTGGAGACACACCAAATACAATAGTATTGATCATTTTGGGATATGTATTGCTGGTGTGATTGAGTGGAAGAGAACACGCACAAAGTATTAAATTACTTGCTTGTTTGCTGTGTATTAAATTTTGGAAGGGCTGCTAAATCGAGCTCTGCTCTGGCTGAACATTCCATCTTCTGGGGAGATTATCCGCAAATATGCAGTCCCTATTAATTCACTATAAACACAACATGCGGGAAGCACTCAGCAAGTCTGGCGATATCTCTGGAAAGAGAAGCAGAGTTAACATTTCAGATCTGTGACCTTTTATCAGTTCTGATATACCTTCCTGCATAAAAATAGAAATGTAGTGCTATGAAGACAACCCATCTCCCTTATTAAAAACCAAAAGAACTGCGGATGCTGTAAATCAGGAACAAAAACAAAGTTGCTGGAAAAGCTCAGCAGGTCTGGCAGCATCTATGGAGGAGAAAACAGAGTTAACGTTTCGGGTCCGGTGACCCTTCCTCAGAACTCATGGTGGCTGGGAAAACATCAGTTTATATGCAGAAAATAGGGAGGTGGGTGGGGTAGGGAGTAAATGATAGGATAGAGCCCAAAGAGAGAGAAAGACAGTTGGACAGACAAAGGAGTTGCTAACGATCAGGCTGGGAGGGTGAATAGTTGTTAATGGGGACTGTTAGTGACTAACAACAGGGGGTGTGTAGTGGCAGGCCTGGTGTGTGGGGTGGGGGCTGGGACATGGGAGATTTTAGGCCCTAAAATTATTGAACTCAATATTGAGTCCGGAGGTCTGTAGGGTCCCCAAGTGGAAAATGAGGTGTTGTTGCCCCACCTTGCGTTGGGCTTCACTGGAACACTGTAGCAAGCCAGAGACAGAGATGTTGGCCAGGGAGCAGGGTGGTGCATTGAAGTGGCAGGCAACGGGTAGTTCAGGGTCTTTTTTGCGAGCAGAACGTAGATGTTCTGCAAAGCGGTCGCCAAGTCTACGCTATGTTTCCCCAATATAGAGGAGACCACATTGTGAGCAGCGAATGCAGTAGACTAGATTCTTGGAAGTGCAGGTGAAGTGTTGCTTCACCTGGAAGGTATGTTTGAGCCCTTGGATACTGGGGAGGGAGGAGGTAAATGCGCAGGTGTTGCACCTTCGCCGGTTACAGGGGAAGGTGCCGTATGGCTGTGGGGAGGTGTTGGGTGTGAAGGAAGTATGGACCAAGGTGTCCCGGAGGGAACGGTCCCTACGGAAGGCGGACAAGGGAGGGGAGGGGAATATGTGTCTGGTGGTGGCATCTTGCTGGAGGTGGCAGAAATGGCGTCTGATGATCTTCTGGATGTGGATGCTGGTGAGATGGTAGGTGAGGATAAGGGGAACCCTATCACTGTTGCAGGAGAGAAGAGAAGGGGTGAGGGCAGAAGTGCGGGAGATGGGTTGGACCCGACTGAGGGCCCTGTCGACAACGGAGCTGGGGAATCCTCGGTTGAGGAAGAATGTGGACATTTCGGAGGCTCCCGTGTCAAAGTTGGCCTCATCTGAACATACGCGACGGAGACGGAGGAACTGAGAGAATGGGATGGAGTCTTTGCAGGAAGTGGGGTGTGAGGATGTATAGTCCAGGTAGCTGTGGGAGTCAGTGGGTTTGTAATGGATGTTAGTGGCCAGTCTATCCCCAGAAATGGAAATAGAAATGTCGAGGAAGGGAAGGGAGGAGTCAGAAATAGACCAGGTGAAAGTGAGGGCAGGATGGAAATTGGAGGCGAAATTGATGAAGTTTTCCAATTCTCGATGAGAGAGGGAAGCAGCACCGATGATATCATCGATGTATCGGAGAAAGAGTTGTGGGTGGGGGCCAGAATAGGACTGGAACAAGGAATGTTCCATGTATCCCACGAAGAGACAGGCATAACTAGGGCCCATGCGGGTACCCATGGCAACCCCTCTTACCTGAAGAAAATGAGAGGAGTTGAAAGAGAAGTTGTTGAGGGTGAGGACAGGCTCGGCCAGGCGGAGGAGGGTGGTGGTGGGTGGGGATGGTTCAGGTCTTTGCTCCAGGAAGAAGCGGAGAGCCCTAAGGCCCTCCTGGTGGGGAATGGATGTGTAAAGGGATTGCACATCCATGGTAAAGAGGAGGTGGCTGGAGCCAGTAAACTGGAAGCTTTGAAACCGGCGTAAGGCATCAGATGAATCATGGATGTATGTGGGTAGGGATTGGACCAGGGGGGAGAAGACTGAGTCAAGGTAGGAAGAGATGAGTCCTGTGGGACATGAGCAGGCTGAAACAATGGATCTACCTGGACAGTCCTGTTTGTGGATTTTTGGCAGGAGGTAGAAACGAGCTGTGCGGGGTTGGGGGACTATTAGCTTGGAAGCGGATGGGGAGAGATCACCGGATGAAATGAGATCCGTAACCGTAGTGGATACAATGGCCTGATGTGCCAGGGTGGAGTCATGGTCCAGGGGAAGGTAGGAGGAGGTATCTGAGAGCTGGCACTCAGCCTCTGCAAGGTAGAGGTCAGTACGCCAGACAACAACAGCACCACCCTTATCGGCAGGCTTGATGACAAAGTTAGGGTTAGATCTGAGTGCACGGAGTGCAGTCAGTTCGGAGGGTGATAGGTTGGATTTGTTGAGAGGGGCAGTGAAATTGAGGTGACTGATTTCACGTCGACAGTTCTCAATGAAAAGATCGAAGTAAAAGGCCGGAGGGAGGGGTCCAGGTGGAGGGAGAGTGTTGGAGTTGGGCAAAGGGGTCTGTGGGGCAGGGAGAGGACCCTTGTCCAAAGAAATGAGCACGGAGGTGAAGATGGCGGAAGAACAGTTCGGCGTCACGTCGTGCCCAAAATTCGTTAAGGTGGGGACGCAGAGGGATAAAGCTGAGGCCTTTGCTGAGTACAGAGCGTTCAGCATTGGAGAACAGAAGATTAGGAGGGATGGTGAATACCCGACAGGAGGTGGGGAGGTTGGCGGAGGGGATAGAGTCAGAGGGAAGGGGAGGAGAGGTAGGTTCCAGAGGGCCATGGGTATTTTTGAGTTGGTGCATCTTGTGGGCCTTGATGCCTGAAAGGAAAAGAAAAAGTTTCTTGTTAGCACGACGAATGAGCCGGAGGATGAAGTGGAACTGCGGAGTGGTGCAGCCCTGAGCTAGTGTGTTACGATGTTGTTGGAGAGAAAGGTTGAGAGTGCGCATGTGATGACTAACAATCCCCATGAACAACTATTCACCCTCCCAGCCTGATCGTTAGCAACTCCTTTGTCTGTCCAACTGTCTTTCTCTCTCTTTGGGCTCTATCCTATCGTTTACTCCCTACCCTACCCACCTCCCTATTTTCTGCATATAAACTGACGTTTTCCCAGCCACCATCAGTTTTGCGGAAGGGTCACCGGACCCGAAACATTAACTCTGTTTTCTCCTCCACAGATGCTGCCAGACCTGCTGAGCTTTTCCAGCAACTTTGTTTTTGTTCCATCTCCCTTACTGCTCTCAATACATTATATTAACACAGTTTCTTGCCCTTTTGGAAGCTGGTGTTTTTAGTGCTAAAAGACGTCCTGAAAAAGCTTTTGTCAAACCTGGTATTTATCAAGTACACAAGCTGCTGAACAGAGTCCAAGATGGACGGGTATGCTATTTCCAATGGACTTGCATAAAATTAGTTTATACTCTTACTCTAGTGTCTAAACTTAGTGTGTTCCTTGTGATCAATGTAATGTTATAAATTGAGTTCTTGAAAGTAAAATAGAATTAATTGCAAAATCCGTGCCAGAAAATACTGTCAGTGAACAATCTTGAAGTTGAAACCAAATGAGGGGCTTGAAATAGAAACTACTATGGAATTGTTTTCACTATTGTATTATGCGGATACCATAGTCCAGCATAGTTTTTATTTATATTGTCTTAACATTTCTTTTTACATGGTCAGGGGTTTGGTTTGTACTTTATTATTGCTAAATGATACATGCCAATCATTGTTTTCGATATCAGTTTTTTTCTTTGTGGTCTCTCCAGTTATTGTATTTGTATTTTTTAATATTCTTCAGGCTCTGAAAGTGCTTCTCCTTCACACTCAAACACATGTTCGAGATCTCAGACGCCTTCTCCATCCACTTTAAATGCTGATCACATGGAACAAAAAGATTTGCCGCTGGATGAAAAATTGCATCATTCGGTCTTGCAGACTCCAGATGACTTGGGTATTACTTAATTGGTTAATTAATTTAAAGTTAAATATACAACTTGTTCCAAACATTTAATCTTGATCGCTCAGAATGCTGATATGAAATATATACACATTGCTGAAAAAGTTTTCCTTTTGCCCAAATTGTTTGTCTGGATATGCCAGATATTCAGTAAAGAAACTGTTATATGATCATTTTTATTTGGGTACAGGCTTACCACAATTCCTGTTGTGTTGATAGCATTTGTTTCTGTATAGTGATAGTTTCAAGACATTTAAATTTTAATATGATGTACCTTTTTGTGCTAAATGTAACTTCTCTAAATTATGTATGTATATTGTCTGTTTTATAACAAAATGTTGCATTGAGCAGAAAATAGTGAATTTCCAAATGAAGATTGCAGTGTGATGGCAGGAGGAAGTCTTAAAGGTTGGCATGAAGATGTTGCTACAGTTATGTGGAGACGAATGCTTGGTATTTTGGGAGATGTCAACTGCATTAAGGATCCTGAAATTCATGCTCAAGTGTTTGACTATTTATGCGAACTATGGCAGAATTTAGCCAAGGTAAGCTGTTAATTTAAGCTTGCTTGCAAAGGTTAGCAGTGCTACTATGGACTAAGCTTTCCACATAGGTGTTTTCGATGCTAGTTTTATTCAGAATAAATAGAAAATAGATTGTACATGGTTGTTATTTGTAGATTAACAGTTATGAAAGAAATTCGTGGTTGGATGTATAATGTTTTAATCTTGTTGAAATTCTTGTGTTGGATTCATTAATGGGATGTGAGTGTCATTGACGAGGCCAGCATTATTGTCACTCATAACTGATGGAGAAAGTGATTGTGAACCACTGCCATTATCTACTGTAGCCTGTATGGTGAAGTTTAAACCACCCCTCCCCACCTCTTCAGTGCTAATAAGTAAGGAGTTCCAGGATTTTGACCCATTGGCAATGAAAAAACAGCAATATTTTTCCACGTCAGAGTCCTGCCATGGATCTGCTGCCCTTTTGGCTGTAGATGGCAGAGCTCATGAGCAGAGAGGTGTATTAATAAAGTTTTAACAAGTTGTTACAATCCATCCTTTAGATGGTGCACATTTTAGCCATGTTACACTTATAATGAGAGAATGGACTATTTAAAATAGGGCGGCACGGTGGTTCAGTGGTTAGCACTGCTGCCTCACAGCACCAGGGACCCGGGTTCGATTCTACCCTCTGGCGACCGTCTGTGCGGAGTTTGCACATTCTCCCCATGTCTGCGTGGGTTTCCTCAGTGTGTTCCGGTTTCCTCCCACAATCCAAAGATGTGCAGGTTAGACGGATTGGCCATGCTAAATTGCCTGTAGTGTTCAGGGATGTGTAGATTAAGTGGGTTATCGGGGGATGGGTCTGGGTTGAATGCCCTGAAGGTTGGTGTGGACTTGTTGGGCCGAAGGGCCTGTTTCCACACTGTAGGGATTCTATGATCTAAAATAGTGGATACAGTACAATCAAGTAGGCTACTTTTCCATAAATGATGTCAAGTTTGAGCATTGTTCAAGTTGTGCTCATCTAGGAAAGTGGAGAATATTTTCATAACGTTTCAAACTTGTTCCTTTATAGAAATTGGAAAAGTCTGGAGAGTAAGGAGCTCACGATAGAACACCCAGCCTTTCGCATGCTGTTTTAGTCACAGTATTTTCAGGGATTGTTCAGTTAAATTTCTAATCGGTGATGACCCCAGGATATTGATGGGGCAGTCAACAATGTAAATGCCATTGAATGTCATACAAAAACGATACTTTGTTGATGATGCTCATTGCCTAGCATTTGTACGGCACAAATATTTCTTATACTTATCAGCCTAAGCCATAAATATTGCACGCAGACACAGAGTACGTCATTATCTGAAAAGTTGCAATTGGTTCTGAACACACCTAAACTTCAGCAAGTTTCTCCATTTTTTGACCTGGTGGTGAAGGAAAGGTTGTTGATGAAGCAGCTGATAATGGATGGGCCTAGGACACGATGCTGACAATCTCCTAGCTGTTACTTCCAGGGGCTGGAATGTTTGGCTTCTAACAACAATAAACATCTTGCTTCGCGTTGGGTTTCAATGCAGCCACTAGCAAAGCTTCCTCCAATCCCATTGACTGAAATTTTACTTGGACTTTTAGATGTCTCACACAGTCACATATTTCATTGGTGTCAGGGGTAGTCATTCTCACCTCTTGAATTCAGCTTTTTCGTCCATGTTTGGACGAAAGCTGTAATCTGGAGATGGGTGGTCCTGTTGAAATCTGAATTGAATATTATTGAATTGATTTTTGGTGGGTAAGTATTGCTTAACATTGTGAACGTAGCATCATTTTGCTGACAATTGACAATAGACTGTTGGACTATAATTGACTGAATTGGATCTGTTCTGTTTTTGATGGACTAGATATGCTCAACAATTTTCCATATTGTCCTGTGTTGCAGCCGTACCTGAGCCACTTGGCTAACAGCACAGCTGTCTCTGAGCATGTCTTTATTACTGCAACCACAATGTTGTCAGAGTCCGTGAGCTTCACTTTATCGAATTCCTTTTAATTGTTTCCTGATATCATGGAAAATTAATTGAATTGGCTAAACTCTGGCATCTATGATGCTGGGGATCTCTTTGAAGAGGCATCCATTTGATAATTCTGGCTGCAGATGGTTGCAAATGCCATGCCTTCTGCACTTATGTACTGAGCTTTGCTGTCAATTGAGCATGGGGATGTTTCTGTAGCTATCTGCTCCTATTAACCGTGAAATTATCCACCACTTTTCATGACTGGCATGATCAGGTAGCATCTATAGAAAGAGAAAAATGATTCAGCTTTGAGATTGATGACCTGAAATATTGAAAGATCATCATCTATTTGAAACATGTTTCTCCCTCTCCAGAAATGTTGCTTGACCTGCTGAGTATTTCCAACATTTTTGTGTTTATTTCAGATTTTCAGAGCCTGCAATATTTTATGACTGTATGAATGTTGATAAAGGACCCTGGGGAATTAAATGTAAGGCATGACTCCATGACTGTGCCTATGTTAGGCTGTTACATTACTAATTTGTGGGACAGCTGTCCTAAATTTGGCAGAGGTTCCCTAGATGATAGTGAAAGAAGTCTTTCGGAGGCTGACAGTTTGGGAGTATTTTTGTTGTTTCTGCCAGAGTTTATGCAGATTTGCATAGCTTCTCATAACAGCTTGGCTGAGTAGTTAAGAGTCAGCCCCTTTGCTGAGTGTGGAATTGCATAAACCAGACTGGGTAAGGATGGAAGATTTTCTTTCCTGACAAGATATTACTGAATCAGTTGGTTTTTGAGAAACAAAAATTTTTTTGTTTCATGGTCACCATTTAAGATAGGGTTTTTTTCCTCCCAGGTTTGTTCAATTAATTGAACTTAGATTTTCCAACTGCCATGATGAGGCTTGAACTCCTGTCTCCAGTCATGAATTCAGGCGTCTGTATTATTAGTTCAGTGACTTAACCACCCTGTGTGACTAGATACCTGAGAATCCCTAAAAATCAAAATCCAGTTGATATCATTCTCTACCTGATTCTGTACTTCAGCAGTATTTAGCTGTCACCTCTGTACGAAATACGAGAAAGCTGAAGCTATCTCCACAGTCAGAACCAGTTCAAGCTAACCTTAAAGCATGAACAACTAATAAGTGGACCAAAAGGACAGGAAGCCACAACTGTTTGGAATAGCAATCTATTATAACACCTGCAGCAAGTTCTCTGTTGTCTTAGGATGTAATAAAATGTGTTTGTGTCTTAAATGTGGGTGCTACCAGGATCGTGAAATCATAGATTGTGGAGACGAAGTGACGTTATTTTGTAACTGACAATGATGCTGTGTTGGATATGAAGTGTTGATGATTTCAAACGTAACTTATTCAGCAGGTAATGCACATGTTGGATCATGTAATTGGACTGCAGCAGTTCAAGAAGGCAGATCACCACGTCCTTCTCAAGAACAACCAAGGGTGGGCAATAAATGTTGGCCCAGTCAATGACACCCATATCCCATGAATGAATAAAAAAAAGATTGGAGGCTGAGTTCTCTACTTTCTGTTTGCCTGTGTCATTGAAATATCTCAGACCAATGCTTCTGTGTTTTGAAACTCCACTGTAGGTTATAAATCTAAAACCTTTCTAAGACTTGATGGAAATGGTTCAAGCTTATGGATTGCCTTTCAGGGTGTCTTTGTTCGTAGTAATCCATGATCAATTATTTTTTATTGGTTCATAGGATGTGAGCATCGTTAACTAGGCCAAAATTTATGACTCATCTCTTGTTGCCCTGGAGAAAATTATGTTATTGCAAGGCAGCACAGCTCAGTAGAATGGTCCTCCTGCGTAATGTGAGAAGTCAGGGTTAACTCCAGTGTCCAAGGTCACCAAATATGCAGGTGGTGTCTCCAGTGCAGCTACTGAAGGTCAATGTTTTAGGTCTGCAGCAGCAACTGGAGTCACTGTGGAGCCTCTGCAAGCTAAGATCTTCTTGGATAGTACATACAGCAGGGTGGTCATGCTATAGCTAAAGAGTGCACAGACAGAGAAGATATAGCTGACCACCATTCGGAGCAAAAGCACCAAGCAGGTAGTCCAGGAGTCTCTTGGAGCTACATCACTCACTAACAGATGTTCCAGTTTGGATACTGCTAGTGGAGCTGGTTTCTCAGGGAATGCAGAAAGAATCAAGGCTGTGGCACCAGGAGTGGTTCAGTTGCACAGGGAAGGAGAAAAGACAAATACAAGAGCAATGGTGGCCATATATTCTATCGTAAGAGGAACAGGTAGACATTTCTGCAGCCATAGATGAGACACCAGAATGGTGTATTGCCTCACTGGTGCTAGAGTCAAGGATGTCACATGTTTAGATTTATAACCTACAGTGGAGTTTCAAAACACAGAAGCATTGGTCTGAGATATTTCAATGACACAGGCAAACAGAAAGTAGAGAACTCAGCCTCCAATCTTTTTTTTGCAGCTGCAGGGTATTCTGAAGGTGAGAGAAAGCAACCAGAGGTTGTGTACCATATCAGTACAATGACATAGATAAAGTGAGGGATGAAGTTCTGCAAGCAGAACAGAGGGATCTAGGAAATAATTTTTTAAAAACCTGAAAGGTAGTAATCACTGAATTACTTCCAATGTCACATATGATTGAGATCAGGAATAGGTGAATATACCAAATGCTTGGAGGGATGGGGTGGGGAGTGTGGAATTTCGATTCTTGAGGCATTAGAATGGATTCTGGGGAAGAGGTGGGATAAGTTGCAACCCAGCAGCACTAGCGTTAATATCCTTGGAGGGGCATCGCCATTATTGTAGGTGATGGTTTAAACTATAGTGGCAAAGTGTGGGAACCTGAGCAAGGAAATGAAGGTGACTGAAGCAAAGATGAACTGAACGTTGAAGAGTAGAAAGAAAAAGTGGAAGGCAGAGAAAACAAGGGTTAGCAACAAATAGGGTTGTAATATAAACCAGAATGCATGGAAATGTTGAAACGATAAGTCTAAAAGGTAATATGTGATTGTGCAATAAGGTAAATGAATTAAGAATGCAAATAGTTGTAAACAGGTCTGAAATGATTAATTGCCATTAAGCAGACATGACTGCAGGGTGACCAAGGCTGGGAACTGAACATGCAAGGACAGACAAAATGGAAATTGAGATGAGTTGACACCAATAGTAAAAGATGAAATCAGTGCAACAGTGAGAAAAGGTATTGGCACAGGAAATCTAGATATGGAATCAATCTGGGGGAGTTAGCAAGCAGCAAGGGGCAGAAAACATTAATGGGAGTTGTCCGTACACCTTCAAATAGTAGTGGTGAGTTTAGGGGTGGCATGAAGCAGGAAATTAGAAGTGCATGCAGTAAGAGTGCTACAGTAATCATGCGTGATTTTAATCTAGATAGAGTGCACAAACAACTTGAGCAATAATATTGTGACAGACAAATTCCAGGAGTGTGTACAGTGTGTTTTTTTTAGACCAGTACATTGAGGAACCAACTCAAAGGACAGGCCATCTTAGATTTGCTTTTTGTGCAGTGAGCAGTGGTTCAAAAATAGTCTTGTAGTGAGAGGACCTTTTAAGAAAATGTGACCATAATTGCATTGGGAGAGAATGGGAAGTAGTCTAATCCAAAACTAAGGGCTTAAGTCTATATTTTGGAAGCTGTGAACATATGATAGGTGAGTTGGCTGTGATAGACTTGGTCACTTAATTAAAAGGCATGGCAGTGGATAAAGAATTGTTCGTATAACCATTTTTGGTTGGTAAGTAGAAACTTCTGAGAGGGCTGAATAGACTGGATGCAGCAATGACGTTTAACCTGGCTGACGTGTCCAGAACAAGTAGTTACAGTCTCAGATTGTGGTAGGCCATTTCAGACTGAGATGAAAAGAAATTTTTTCACTCAGAAGATATTGAAGAAAGAAATCAGTTTTCAGCTGCAGGTGTCGGGGGTGTGGGGAGAAAATTGAGATATGATGTTAAGAAAGAGGTTAAGTCATGATCATGTTGCATAGTGGAGGTGGCTTGATGGGATGAGTAGCCTATGCCTGCTTCCATTTTCTTTCTTTCTGTGTAAGCGGTGACCCCAGCATTGATGTTGGGTGATAATAGTGCACGTGAAGATAAGGAGGACATGACTAGGTTTTTCTTGTCAGAGATGTCATTGCATGTCATCAACAATACAAAAATGTCACTATTGCTTGTCACCCCATTATCAGTCCTGCTGTAGTGTGTTGTAAGCATCTTCGTTATTGGAGGATGACTAAATGAAGCATAATCCTGCACGATGGTCAGTGAATGTACCATTTACACAAAGAGAAAGTAATGAATTTCATAAGATCATAAACATAATAGCAGAAGTAGGCCATTCAATGATCATGGCTAATCTGATAATCCTCAACTGTACTTTCCTGTATCTTCTCCTTAATCCTTGATTCCCTAACTGTTTAAAAATCTGTCCATCTCGGCCTTGGTCTGAAGATGATTGAGTCGAGGGCATTTTGTAACGGTATTCTGAGGATGAGGTGATTTCCGTATATGCTGGATGTAGGTGTGAACAGTAAAGAGTTTTGTCCATTAAACCCATTCATTTCAGTTTGATCAGGTCTCTTAATGTCATTTGACTAAATGCCACCTTGATATTAAGACAGTTGATCTCTTTTCCTCTTGTATTTAATTCGGGCAGTCCATGTCTAGATTAAGATAATGATAATGTCTGGAGATCTAACAGAACCTGAATGGAGAATCATTATTTTGATTATTTGTGAGCAGGTACATAAAAAGATACTATTGGTAACTCCTCCAGAACTGTACAACAAATGTATGGCCTATTTCAAATGATGGTAAATGTATGGAATGAGCAACTAGGGGAGCAAAGAAAGTGTACAATGTGATGGATTTAAATACAACTTTGATATCTTTCTTTGAGAAAATATTATTTTGGTTTAAAATATGAGAATAATGATGAGTGTTGTATGCTCAAGAGGAACATGTGACGTGATCCTGAGTTTTCTATAACTTTGCATCACTGGAAGTTTCTTCACTTCATTCTGGGTCTGTTATGGGAGAGTTGTTAGAGATTGATTGTTTTGTTTGATTAAAAGCACTATCAATAGCTAGCAAGTTGGTAAATGGTGAATTCAGTCGACTGTGGTCTTTCCTTGTTTACCAATTCCTGCATTCCAAATGGCCTTCAGAGGTAGTAATTTAATATTGTTTTAAGTTGTGCCCATTCTTCCTAACAAGTCACGCTGTTATCTTAAAATTTTGAATACTTTTGATTTCTAAACAGTTTGGAAATCAATAGATACTATTTTTACTGAAGTTTTAATCTGAAATTCCTTGCTTTGTGAAATATTTTCAGTAAAATATTTTCTTATTAAAGCACATTATAATTGTTTTGTCAAAACATAATTTCCTTTCTTTAAAGGTGAGAGATAATCTTGGAATTACAATAGACAATCACACCTCCCCACCACCCCCTGTTTTGATACCACCGCTCAGAATTCTAACTCCTTGGCTTTTTAAGGTAGGTTAAGTTGTTTCTTAAAGATGAATGATCTATTTTTCAATTTGTTATTTCCATTGATTAATTCATACACTGAACGAGTCTTCAATGCATTCAGAAATTTCAGGTTATTCTTTCAGTAGTTCTTGCCCTTGATTTAGTGGTAGCACTGTCATTTTTAAGTCAGAAGGCACATGTTCAGAACTACCAAAACTACACTAACCGTGTTATCTTCCAAATGAGATATTAAACCAGCTACCCTATCAGGTGAATATCAAAGGCACTTTTCCAGCAGGAGCAAGGAAGTTCCTTACAATATTCTTGCTGTGAGTCAGTTGGTGGCACTCTTGCCTCTGCTTTCAAAAGTTATGAATGCAAGTTTAACTCCAGAGATTTGAGCACATAATCTAGGCTGACTCTTCAGTGTAGCCTAGGCGAGTGTTGAATAATTACTGTTGTTTTTCAGATGAAATTTTAAACAGAGCCCCTATATGCCCTCTCAGATTGGCAATAAAAAGTTGTAGTATTTTTTGAAAAAGCGCACTGAAGCTTTTCTCAGTTTCCTGATCAAATTTATCCTTCCATCAAGATCACTAAAACAGGCTATCTGGTCATCATCGCATTGCTGTTTGGTGACTTTGTTGAGCACAACTTGACTGCATTTCCTACACTTCAACAACAATTTCCATTTAAAGTGTTGAGTTGACTGTAAAGTGTTTTCTAAAGTAGAAAGTTCAGTCTTGATCATTCATTTCTATGTCAGCACCACCAAAAGCACATTAACCAATTGGTCTTTTAGTCCAATTCTCTTGTATTGAAACTAGCCAGTGTATTCATCAGAAATTACAATTCACTTTTGGACACCTGAAGACTTTAAAAATGCTGTATAAATTTCATTCTCTCAACCAGGTTCTATAGATTACTAGTCCAGCAACAATAGCACTGCACCATAAACTCCCCCAAAAGTGCTAGGTATGACTCCAAACAGCAGCTAATTTTCTCCTGCTTTCCATTGATTTCAGTTTCGCAGTTTTGATGCTGCGCTCAGTCAAATGCAGCCCTGTTGTCAAGGGCAGTCACTCTTGCCTTAATTGGACATTCAGGCCGCATTTGATCAAACCTGACATCAAGGTACCCTGGCAACTCTATAGTCAAATCAGGCCATAATTTCTGGGTTTCCTTTTTTCAGCTGCATGTGGAATGGCCAAAAGTAGCTTTTGGACTCTCAACATTTGTAATGTGAACACCACCTATTTCAATGTCTGTCCAGATCTAGTTTTTTTTCTCTTTTTGACTTGTTTTCAGTTCTACAGTGTACAGTTCAGTAATTCCCCAGAGCTCCCTATATTGCCATTTGCTCATCATCTTGGCTTCCATTGACTACCAAAGGAATCAAGCAATCAATTTTAAATTCTTATCCTTGTTTTCAGGCTCCACTACACCTTGCCGTCACCATTTCTGTTATTGCTTTCTACCCTATAGCCCTCTGATATATGAACTCATCTAATTCTGATCTCCTGAACATCCACCATTGGCATACAGCAGTCTAAACCTGAAACTTCAGAATATATTGTATCCATACTAGTTGTTGATCATATAGTCCATAATTCTTAGGCATAATTTTGTTTGTTTCTATGGATAATTAATATTTTCAAGGAAAGTGCACCTTTCAAGATTAACTATGTTTAATACATCATTATCAACATAATTCTCTTTCGTTGGTGCTCCAAGCGTATCGGTGCCATTAAGCACCTTATATCTGGCTGTTTTGTGTATAGTAGTGTGCCACAACATTTTTTAGATCTAGATTTTTAGTATGAATTGTTTTACTGTTTTACGCTTAAGCAGTTAATACTGCATAATAAATAGGTTGATATTCCTGAGTCAGCATTGAGGTTACTCGTTTGTGCCCTCTGTATATTTTGATGTGGTTCATTTTTTTTCAACATTTGGTTCGACTTAAATATTTGCTAACTGTTGAGCAAAGGAGAAATGCAATCATTAAAAGTTGTAGATAACAAGGTGTAGAGCTGGATGAACACAGCAGGCCAAGCAGCATCAGAGGAGCAGGAAAGCTGACGTTTCGGGCCTAGACCCTTCTTCAGAAATAAGATCTCAGATTCTCCAGCATCTGCAGTTCCTACTAACATTAAAAGTTGTATACTGCTTTCATGATCAGGATTTAAAAATTGATTTGTGAGTGCAGTTATTATCATTTTGTGTTGATTATGGAAAAAGCAGATTGTTTAGAAATATTATAAAAATATTCAATGATGTAAAAATTAGTGACATAGTTGTAATTTCAATATAAATTAACAAAATATCATGTTACAGTATGCTCAAACTTGTAAGGTGAGAATAAAGCTTGAAGCTCTATTTTGGTGTAAATTTAATGGATTTTGTTGTAAATTACATGGTTACTAGCAGCAGTAAAATCCCCAAACCACTGCAAATGATAATGAGTATAGAATCATAAACATTTACAGCAGAGAACAAAGCCACTTTGCCCACTGAATCATCCTATGGAGCAAGTTGAAAACAGGAACAGAATTTTCAAGTCAAAACATTACTTGAACCAAACCAATCTAAGTCAACGAGCCCAGGAATTAAACGTGAATGGGAATTGCAGCAAGTTAAGCCATAAATGGAATAATGTTGGATGACCTCAATTTTAAGAAATGTAGAAAATGGGTGATCAGCCAGTTGTGTGTTTAAATAGTCAAGTCAGAAGATGATATTAAAAAATTGTAAATTTTTACGATGAATTATGGAGTCATTTGATAATTACAACACATTTATGTACTTATTAATTCTTTGTTTAAATGTATTAACACTGATTTGTCTGGTAGTTCTGTCAAACTTGTCCTTCCACAACAAGCGTGGACATGTATGTCACCTTGTCGCATTGAATAATACCCTCATGTCAGTGCAAGCATGCAATGGTACTGATCAGCAGATGTAATTAACAGTGTGCTAAATGGAATAATTTATAACTATAAATATTTAAATATATCTCAATTTCAACTTTTGTTTATTTCTGCGAGTCATCAGTCCTGTTTTTAATTATTGAGACACAATGGTGACTGGTTTATTCATTCTTGTAATTATAGTCATTGAACATTGATTTACTTATCTCTATAAACCGAGCCAGGGCTGCACTTCTCTTCAGACCTTTAATCAATGAGCAGTAGACGTCTTCTAGTTAAATTTTATATGTGAAATACAACAGTTTAATTCAAGCAGCAATGTTTAGTAATTAGTAAGAAATAAAAAGTGGAATAACTTTTTCTCAGCACCATATTTAATGCTAAATTTTATTTATTTTAATTAGGCAACAACATTACCGGAAAAATACAAGCAAGGAAAGCTGCATGCCTACAAGCTTATCTGCAAAATTATGAAACGGCGTCAAGATGTTTCGCCTAATTCCGATTTTCTGGTTCACTTCTACAATATAATGCACAGTGGACTCCTAAATCTTGATCAGGTCAGCTTTCGAAGTTTAAAGTGTATTTATGTATTTTCAGATGTCAAGAATTTGAGTTATTTAATTTAAAGTTTCAGGTTAAAGTTGTTAATTGGTGTAAGTTTTATTTTCTTGCTAGTTGGCGTCTTTAGGACTGGTGGTTGTTCCATTGCAAGCAGTAAAGATTTGAGGTATTTTGCTGCAGCTCTCAAGATAACTAGAATAAGCCAATTAGACCTAGACTAGAGCAAAGAAAAAAAACTTTGGACAGGTACTTAATCTTGCATGTGCTGTGCGAGTAGCTTCTCCAGCAAGTGCTATAAGTGAGAAGTAATGAGGAGGAAAATATTATAATTATTTAAATAACTAAAAATAAGAATCTTCAGAAGAAATGCAGAATAGAAGAAAAGCAATAAAGTGAATAATTTTAAGCAGTGGTGGGTAAAAATAAACGTATTGCTGCAAAAGTCATGTCTTTTTTTCACTTTTAGTAATGTGTATAAACCTTGCGTGATGTATTGCTTCAGCATATTTGCTGTATTAATGTAATTAGCAAATCACTTTTGCATTTGTCTTGTCTGGAGTACTGCACCAAGCTTCAACAGTTGCATTCTAAGACCAACATTACTGCTTGTTCTATTTCACGTACACAACAAGAAACTGTCCATTTTAGTTGTCATCTGTTTTAAGCCTGTTTTTTTAAAATGTTTTAGGACATTGTGAACACCATCATCAAGCACTGTTCTCCAAGGTTCTTTTCTATTGGGTTGCCTGGTGCTACCATGTTAATTTGGGACTTTATAGTTGCTGCTAGCAAAGTAACATTCTCTTCTTCACTTAATGTAAGTCAACAAGCATTACTCTATTTTCTGATGAAATAAAGTAAAACAATGTACTTCTGAAATGCTGGTTTGCTTGTCACTTAGCTTATTTTGAAAATACAGTAAACATGATGGTGTGATTTCTAAAGTCAAAAGAAAAAAATTGTGGGGAATTAAGAGGTAATGTATGGGTATGTCACCTGGAATTAATAAATAGTAATGTTTGGAAATGGTCAGCACCACAGAGCTTGAGATTACTAGAAAAAACAATGTTTTGTAAGACTTTTGTCTTGCACTCATCAGGACATTTCACAAGAATACAAAATCAATATATGTAGTTTCACTACAAGCATGTGTGTTACAGTCCGAGCCTGAGTGACAGTTGATTGTCAGTATAATTCTTTGCACACTCAGGATTTTCCAACAAATACTGTCCAATTGAAGAATCACATCAAACGTTGGTCACTTGTGGGTATTGCTAGCACGTAGTAGATGGATGCAAGACTTGGTACTTGGTTGAATGACTGAAAGGATACGCTGTTTGATACGATCCATGAATCATAAAGATGAATGGCATACATTCCTGGCATCACACCAGCACTGAAATTCATATGCCACATTACTCATTTATTTGATAGGCAGAATTTTTTTTTTTACATGACAGTCACATCCCGTTGGTGGCAAACACCACTCGCTGCTACTGCATAGTAGGCAGCATGAGACAGTTAGTTCCTCCTGTTACATGCATTTTTGAGAAATCTTACTCTTCCAAGGTAGTCGAAGGTAGATTGAATACTTTTCAGGATCTATGGTGATTACCTTAGAGCCTTTCATGCATTAATGCACTGGAAAGCTGGTAGCTGAGAGGAAACCCGACAGAGGTCTACAACATTATGAGAGGCCTAGATAAAGTGGATAGTCAGAGGCTTTTTCCCAATGTTGAAGTTTCAATTACAAGGGGGCACAGGTTCAAGGTCAGAGGGGGAAAGTTTAAGGGAGATGTGCAAGGGAAGTTTTTCACGCAGAGAGTGGTAGCAGCCTGGAACGCACTACCAGAAGAGGTGATGGAAACAGCACATTGAAGACATTTAACAGATACCTAGATGGGTACATGTATAGGGAGGGAATAGAGGGATATGGATTGAAAAATGCAGGTTTTTAGATTAATTAGGGCATGATGGTCAGCACAGGCTTGGAGGGCCGAAGGGCCTGTTCCTGTGCTGTACTTTTTCATTTGTTCGTACAGTGTGAAATGATCTGCTCATGGTTGCCATTGTCCAACAGGATGCCTTTTAAGTGCCCTATTTCAGCGTCAAGTTTGCACTATGAACAAACAGCTCAGGATCTTTTTATGCAGTTGTCAATGAGGTAAATCTTATAACAGTTGTGAGGGCTCTTATGGTGCAGTGATAACATCCCTACCTCTGAGCCAGGAGGCCCACGTTCAAGTCCCATCTGCCCCAGACGTCTGTCATAATAAATCTGAACAGGTCGATCAGATATATCTATAACATGTGCAAATGTCAGAATCCTGACATGCGTACTAACAGTAAAGATAGACTTGCAGTAGACAGTAGTAGAGAACCCCTAATAAAAACAGGAATTACTGAACAGAACTGAAGAAGGGTCACCGGACCTGAAATGTTAACTCTGCTTTCTCTTCACATATACTGCCAGACCTGCCAGCAATTTCTGATTTTGTTTCTGATTTCCTTCATCTGCAATTCTTTGGTTTCTTTTGCGTGTAACCCTGGTTCTCATACGGACATGGGAGAAAGGATGTTTTTTGACTATTGCATTTGAACATGAATTTGAACACAAATGAAGCCTGTTAAGACATGTGAAGAAATTGTAATATACAGCTATAAGCTGCAGTGCAGAAATTCACCAAAAATCCTTAGACAGCTCCTTTCAAATCTATGATGTCTTACATCTAGAAGTACATAGGAGTACCAACAAATGCAAGTTCCCCTCCAAGCCACTCACCATCCCGACTTGGAAGTGTGTTACCGTTCCTTCACTGTCACTGGGTCTAAATCCTGGAATTCCCTCCGTAATGGCATTATGGGTCAACCTACAGCATGTTCACTGCAGCGGTTCAAGAAGGCAGCTCACCACCACCTTCTCAAGGGCAACTAGGGACAGACAAATATTGGCCAGCCAGCGACCACCTAAGTTCCATGAGTGAATAAAACAAAAACCTGCAAATTAAAATATAGCAAACATATCATTTGCATATTGGAAATATGCAAGGATTAGGAAGTTAGTGTCATTCAATCAAAGTTACACTTTTCATGGAATACAACAAAGATATTTGAGAGAGCTGGACCTGATAGGGATCCTATGGCAACAACATTTTTTGTTCAATGTGGTGTCGTTGAAACTGAACTCAACTGCTGAGTTTCAATAAAAACTGTTTAATGAATACTTATTCATGCAATGATGTTGGGTCTTTATTGCTATCGTATTGTGCAGCAGAGTAGTGTGGAAGGATATTAAGATTGGCCTTATCGACAACTTCTTAAATAGGGTCCAAGACATCTATTTTCTATGCAAAGTTGATGTTGAAATAGGGTGCATCATAGCCATCCTACTGGATAATGGCTATGCCCATCAGGTTTCTTCTTTTCTGTATCATGCAAACTCATGAAGGGCCATAAGGTGGCCACCCTTGTTCCTGAAGAGTGCCCACTTTTCCTAAAATTGCCTTGGAAGGGTGTAAACTGGAAGGTTTAAACAGCAGGGGAAGCAACGGTTTCATGCTTCTACTATGTAGTACCAACAGGAGTGATACTTGCCACTATCAGGATGTTATTGCCAAGCCAAAGAGATGTTCTGCCCATCATACAAATGAGTAATAAGGTATTTGAATGTCAGAGCCGGTATGATGCCTGGTGTGTAACTCTGGTGGCTTATATCAAATAGTATATGCCTTTGGCTGTTAACAACAAAAAGGCACTGACCAAACCTGACCAACCTATGCTTGTAGAGCTCACAATACAGTGTCCAGCATTAGGAGCAGCACAGTGACTCAGTGGTTAGCACAGCTGCCTCACATCGCTAGGGACCTTGGTCCAGTTCCAGCCTGGCCTGACTGTCTATATGGAGACTGTGGGCTCACAGTGTGGCACACTAGTATGTATTGAAAATATATATGTGAATACACAGCCCTGTTCTTTGCAAACAGGAAACATGCACTCACTCACTGCACATGATTCAACTCAACAAAGTGGTTGAGAGCCATTCGCTGGTTCCTCAGAGCACTACCCTGACCAATTAAAGTCAACCTGCCTGATTTAGCCTGACATTTAACTGTCAATAAGGATTAATAGGTGTATTTTCCATGGCAATGCCTCTATCAGTCAGAGTCAAAGTCTATAATCTGGTGTCATGTGACTTCTGACTTTGTCCACCCCAGTCCAACGCCAGCAGCTCCACATCATGTCTATCAATCAGAGCCCAGTTGCCAATGATTCAGCAATCTCCTCTCATGGAGTGTAAATGTTGATCTTCCCTTTTACCTGGCATTTTCGCAAATTGTCCTGATGAGTGGCAGATGAAAATTCAGCAGTACTCGAATTCTAATGTTGTGCTTCAATTACTGGTATTTCTCCAATTTGAAACTTTAAACATCATAATAATAAAGCATCATCATTGAAAATTGAACATTTCCTAGGTATTCCAATCGCCTTTTGTTTTGATCTTAGTGGCATTTTATTACTGATTGTGGCAAGTTCTTTCAAACGGATTTCTTTTTTAAAAATTTATCAACAGAGCAGTCAATGTACTTTAAAAATTGATGAATTTTCTTTAGTCGAATAGTATCTAGATTTTCCCTTAGCATTAAAATACCAAAGCAGGTGTTTTTTGTATTATTATACTAATAAGCAATGAAAATCATTTTCCAGTTGCAGTTAATTGGGTAAATGCAGTATCTGTGTCGTACTGATCTGTACAGTCTGCTGAATATATCACCTGATGATCTGATCTATACCAGTTTAGCTCATCACAGAAAAGTTACTGCTGAAGATACCATAATTTGCATTCTTCTACCATCTAAGGGCTGCTTAGATGGCTCCTTGTTGATGTGTTATCCATCAATTCCTGTTCTTTGTATTTTTGTTTGTACAGTTTTTATATTTCAATATTAAAGTGAATATTTTTTATTCATTTGTGGAATGTGAGTATCACTGGCTGGCCAACATTTATTGCCTGTCCTTAGTTGCCCTGAGAAGGTGGTAATGAGCTGCCTTCTTGAACCACTGCAGTCCACCTACTGTGGGTTGACCCACAATGCCATTAGGGAGCGAATTCCAGGATTTTGACCCAGCAACAGTGAAGGAACAGCGATATATTTCCAAGTCAGGATGGTGACTGGCTTGGAGGGAAACTTGAAGGTGGTGATGATCCCATATATCTGCTGCCCTTGTCCTTCTAGATGGAAGTGGTTGTGGATTGGAAGGTGCTGTCTGAGGATCTTTGGTGAATTTCTGCAGTGCATTTGTAGCTGGTACACACTGCTGCCACTGAGCATTGGTGGTGGAAGGAGTGGATCCTTGTGGATGTAGCACCAATCGAGCTTTGTCCTGGATGGTGTCAAGCTTCTTGAGTGTTGTTGAGGTTGCACTCATCCAGGCAAGTGCAGAGTATTCTATCACACTCCTGGCTTGTGGCTTATAGATGGCGGTCAGGCTTTGAGGAGTCAGGAGGTGAGTTATTCGCTACGATATTCCTAGCTTTTGACCTGCCATTGTAGCCACTGTGTTTATGTGGTGAGTCAAGTTGAGTTTCTGGTCAATGATAACCCCAAGGATGTTGATATTGGGGGATTCAGTGATGGTAACACTGTTGAATGCCAAGGGGCGATGGTTAGATTGTCTCTTATTCATGATGGTCACAGCCTGGCATTTGTGTGGCGCGAATGTCACTTGCCACTTGTCAGCCCAAGTCTGGATATTGCCCAGACTTTGTTCCATTTGAACATTGAATTGTTTCAGTACCTGAGGAGTCGCGAATGGTGCTGAACGTTGTGCAATCATCGGCGAATATCCCCACTTTCAGACCTTGTGATGGAGGGAAGGCCATTGATGAAGCAGCTGAAGATGGTTGGGCCAAGGACACTGTCCTGAGGAATTCCTGCAGAGATGTCTTGGAGCTGAGTTGACTGACCTCCAACAACCACAACCATCTTCCTATGTGTCAGGTATGAGTCCAACCACTGGAGAGTTTGCCCTCTGGTACCCATAGGTTCCAGTTTTGCAAGGGCTCCTTGATGCCACATTTGGTTGAATGCAGTCTTGGCTGAAGATTGGTATCTATAATGCTGGGGACCACTGGTGAAGGCCAAGTTGGATCACCCACTCAGCACTTTTGGCTGAAGATTGCTGCAAAAGCTTCAGCCGTATCTTTTGCACTGATGTGCTGGGCTCTTCCATTATTGAGGAGATGGATATTTGTGGAGCTTCCTCCTCTACTGAGTTATTCAATTATCCACCACCATTCATGACTGGATGTGGCAGGACTGCAGAGCTTAGATTTGATCCATTGGTTGTGGGATTGCTTAGCTCTGCCTATCACTTGCTACTTATACTGTTTGGCGTGCAAGTAGTCCTGTTTGGTGGCTTCACCAAGTTGACACCTCATCTTCATGTATGCCTGGTGCTGCTCCTGGCATACCTTCCTGCACTCTCCATTGAACCAGGCTTGATCCCCAGGCTTGATGGTAATATTGAGTTGGGGAATATGCCAGGCAATGAGGTTACACATTGTCCTGGAGTACAATTCTGCAGCTGTTGATGGCCCACAGCACCTCATGGATGCCCAGTCTTGAGTTGCTAGATCTGCTCAAAGTCTGTCCCATTTAGCACAGTGATAGTGCCACACAACATGATGGAGGTTATTCTCAATGTGAAGGCGGGACTTCATCTCCACACGGACTGTGCCGTGGTCACTGTTACCAATATTGTCATGGACAGATGCATCGCAGCTGGCAGATTGATATGGTTGATGTTAAATATGTTTTTCCCTCTTGTTGGTTGCCTCACCACCTGCCGGAGACACAGTCTAGCAGCTGCATCCTTTAGGATCCGACCAACTCAATCTGGAATACTGCTGCCGAGCCACTCTTGGTGGTGCACATTGAAATCCCCCACCCAGAGTACATTTTGTGCCCTTGCCATTCTCAGTGCTTCCTCTAAGTGTTGTTCAATGTGGAGGAGTACTAATTCGTCAGCTGAGGGAGGACGATACGTGGTAATCAGCAAGAGGATTCCTTGCCTATGTTTGACCTGAAACCATGGGGTCCGGAATCAATGTTGAGCACTTCCAGGGTAACACCCTCCCAGCTATATACCACTGTGCTGCCATCTCTACTGGGTGTATCCTGCCAGTGAGACAGGACATATCCAGGGATGGTGATGGTGGTGTCTGGGACATTATCTGTAAGGTATGATTCCGTGAGTATGACTGTGTTAGTGTGTTGCTTGACTAGTTTGTGAGACAGCTCTCCCAATTTTGGCACTAGCCCCCAGAAGTTAATGAGAAGCACTTTGCAGGGTCGACAGGGCTGTGTCTGCCGTTGTCTTTTCTGGTGCCTAGGTCGATGCCAGGTGATCCATCTGATTTCTTTTCTTTGAGACTTTGTAGCAATTGATACAACTGAATGGCTTGCTATGCCATTTCAGAGGGCAATTGAGAGTCAATTATATTGCTTTGGATGTGGAGTTACGTGTAGGCTAGACCAGGTGAGAATAGCAGATTTCCTTCCCTGAAGAACATTAGTGAACCAGATATGTTTTTCCGACAATTGACAATGATTTCATGATCATCAGTAGATTGTTAATTCCAGATTTTTTTTATGGAATTCAGTCTGCTGTGGTAGGATTCAAATTTGATCCCCAAAACAATGTCTGAGTCTCTGGGTTAATAGTCTAGCAATAATACCACTAGCCCATCGCCTACCCCTCTGAATATATGAGACTGCAGTCACCTTGACTGCTTCTTGATCGATCGAATAAAAGTATAATGCTGCAGATGCTGCATTTTGAAGTAAAACCAGAAAATTGCTGGCGAAACTCAGCAGGTGGCAGCATCTGTGGAGAGAGAAACTGAGTTCATACTTCATGTCCAGTACAAGTTAACATTTCAAGTTAGCTCTGTTATCTTTCTGTTTGCTGAGTTTCTACAGCATTTTCTGTTTTTAGTATAAATGATCCATTCCCTTGCTGTCTCAGCTAATCATGAAAAATGATAATGTGAGTGGTATGTCAGCGGCATGAACCACTACTGTCAGTAAGGATGGCCTAAGAGAGAAGAAAATAAAGATTCAAAAGTCTATTAAGCATTGTATGAATTCTACAGTTGCGTATCCAATTAAATGAATGAAAAGGACAATAACTTTTATATTGCCATGAATTTGCTAAAATAATGCTCTACCAGAATATACTTATTAGTCATAAAGTTATATTTAAAAACAAAAACAAAATAATAACTGGTATTCCAATAAAAATAGATCGCCATTATTTCAGTAAACTGGTATAGATTTTCTAATTGTAATGCGACTGTTAAATACAAATTAAGTTATGATTTAATTTGATTTGCCTGGAACTTCCAAATATATTCTTCTTCCATTTCAGGCTCCAAGAGTGGAAGCACAGATTCTATTGGGTTCTTTAGTCTGTTTCCCAAATATATATATAGACCTCCCTACGTTACAGCCTTCTCTTGTGGACATCTTATCAACAAAATGTGATGATGTTAAGGTAAGATTTCTCATGTAAATAGTGTTTGATGTGTTGAATTATCACCAATTTTTTTTTATTATCCGCACCTCCAAAACACAGATTGCAGTCCAATGTTTTTATCATAATTTCATTGTTTGCATATATTCTACTACAGTCTTCACCAAGTTAAAATTCATGGCTCCAATCCAATGATTAAAATAACAAATATTAGTTCTCATCCATATTAAAAAATGGAGATGACAGCAATTTCTGCAGAACGTGCACATTTAAGCACAGAGTTCAGAAATATGTTATCTGAGTTGCCATCTTGACCCAGAAACTCCCCTTTGGGTTTGCACTAAGAAATGTGCAAGATCATGAAGTTGTCATGCATGATAGATGCCCAATAAATTCACCTGACAAGCAGTTCTGTGGCTGCAAATGAGTGTCCCTAGTGCTGAGGTCAGGGATGTCTCAAGCGGGTGCAGGACATTTTGAAGGGGGAGGGTGACTAGCCAGTAGTTATGCTGTATGTTGACACCAACAATATGGGTGAAAAAAACATTGAGGTCCTACAACAGAAATTTAGAGACTTAAGTAGTAGTTAGGATAAGGAGGACTAATGTTCTAATCTCCAGCTAACTTCCAGTGTCACACGCAACTGAGCACAGGTATAGAAAGATAGGTCAGATGAGCATATGGCTGAAGTGAGAAAGAAAAGGACCTTGGTATATAATTTCATAGATCCCAGAAGGTGTCAGCTTAGGTAGATAAGTGGTGGAGAAGGCATACAGAATGCTTGCCTTCGTTAGCTGAGGTGTAGGATATAGGAGCAGGGAAATCTTGTTGCAACTTTATAGAGCACTGGTTACATCAGAGATAGTACACTGTCTGCAGTTCTGGTCACCACACTATCAGAAGAACATGATTACTCTGGAGAAAAGTTTTTTCACCCAGGGGGTGGTAGAAATATGGAACAGGCTGTCTGGGATTGTGGTGGAGGCAAGTACTCTTGCAACATTTAAGAAGCATCTGGACAAATACTTAAAATGCCAGGGCATAGGAGGCTGTGGACCAAGTGCAGGTAAATTGGATTAGTATATTTGGTGTTTGTTCGTCAGCTAGTGACATGGTGAGCTGAAGGGCCTGTTTCGATGTATGACTCTATGATCAGAAAACATTAATGTAAGTAAATTTTTAAGTGTGATTGGTTTTAATTTCTGCCAAAGAACCTCTCCAGCATGGAAAATTAAGTATACAATCTCACCCCTTCAGATTTTAATCATCGTTAGCTTTAGAGAAAAAAAGCAATTTTAATAACATTAAAATTGGAAAATGTTAGAAATAGTGAGATCAGATAGCATGTATAGAATGAGAAACCAGGATAGTATTTCGAGTTAATGGCCGTTCATATTTTACCATTTGTATTCTGTGTTAATCCCATGACTTTCCTTTCTTCTATTTTGATTTTGATTTATGATTTGGCATTGAATTAACTATTCCAGTTTGTATTTTGGACTTCAGGCTCTGTGTGCCTCATTCTTAAATTTAACTGACAAACTTCTTTCGAGGGTGCTGTGCTGAAAATGAATTTTTAATCCCTGACAGTTCCAATGCAGAAGTCCATGGAAAGCATGTTCAAGTGTATTGAGTAGCAAGTGCCATTCATTTGCCATTGCCAACACAATTCAGATCTTTGAACTGTTTCAAGTGCACCAATAAAAAGTAAAGCACACTTGTTCAAGATCACAGTTCAAGGTTTCCTATACCTTTTACTGCCATTTGATTTGGTCTGTACCAACGTGCATCTCAGGCAAAATAAATCCCCTGAACAGTTTCATTGCAGATCCTTTAATCTCTTTGTTCCTAACTCATTTGTCTCATTCGTAGAAAGGTTTAAATTTTCACCTGAAAGTACAGTGCTGAATGTAGTTTTTTTAAAAATATACCCATTCAGCAATGTTGAAATATCTAAATGGATGGCTAATGACAACAAACTCTATCCCGCCACATGTTTCTTCATGGCCTCTGTAATGTCAGACATTCGTTGTTAGGCGAGTTTCTCCTAGTTAAATGTTGGAAAACCAAAAGGGTCAATAGCACTTACTCAACAAGAACTTGCTCACTGCTCAGTTTGAATTGTACCAAAACCACTCGGCCCTGATTTCATTACAGTCTTGGCCTAAACTTGGGTAGAAGAGCCAGACTCCAGAGAGTGACTACACTTGACATCAAGGAAACATTTGTCTGGCTATGGCATCAGGCGCCCGAGTAAAACTAGAGTCAGTTGGAAGCTCAACTTTGTTCGAAGTCATACTTAGCACAAAGAAAATGGTTGTGGTTATTGAAGGGAAATCATCTCATTCCAAGGACAGTACTGCAAGTGTTCCTCATGGTAGAGTGCTAGGCATGACTATTGCTTCATCAATGATCCTTCCTTCATCATCAGGCTAGAAATGAGCATGTTTGCCCATGACTATACAATGTACATCATCATTCTCATGTACCAAAGCAATCCATGTCCGCAGGCAGCAAAACCTGGACAAAATTACAGGCTTGGGCTGATGAGTGGAAAATGTGTTTTGTGCCAGACAATGACTGTCTCCAAAAGAGAGAATCTAACCACCATGAATGACTTGTAATGGTATTATCATCACTGTTCTTTTCCTCACTTAAGTTTAATACTCCTTTTGATGATGCAGCAGAGAGAGTCCAATGGTGGATTTAACATCACTTCTTACTGCCCTTTGGCACAATGTTGTGAAGTACCTAGTGCTATCCATCCAAACCTCTCAGTTAGTTCTGTGCAATTTTTAAATATCAGATTTAATTCTGTAAATAAAACCTGCATTATTCCTGCAGAGAGAGAGAGAGAACTTTTTTTGGCATATGACGCAGCACAAACTTATCAAATTTTATTTAGTATGCTAACTTAAGAAGGTACAATATGATACTATCTTACAAAATAAAAACCAAGAACTGTGGATGCTGTAAATCAGGAACAAAAACAAAGTTGCTGGAAAAGCTCAGCAGGTCTGGCAGCATCTGTGGAGGAGAAAACAGAGTTAATGTTTCGGGTCCGGTGGCCCGAAGTTCTGAGGAATGGTCACCGGACCCGAAACGTTAACTCTGTTTTCTCCTCCACAGATGCTGCCAGATCTGCTGAGCTTTTCCAGCATCTTTGTTTTTGTTCCTGATACTATCTTACTTCTGATTTGTTTTCTTCAAGCAATTTCAAGTAACCTTTGATGGAATGGATTTTATGGAAACGTTCCTGAATTTTGTTTTTAACATAAAATGTGATTGAGTGTTTTCATGAAATCTAAATATATTAATTTATTTTTCAAGTTACTAGTGTTTTAAAATTCTTCATTGCTTTTTGTTTTCCTGGAAATAATTCTTGAACTCTGAGAGTTGTTGAAGTTTTGCAATGCAGCAATATTGCATTGAGCATTTATTTGAAATGTATATGTGTGCTAAAGTATGAATATATTACCTTCCAGTTTTTTATTTGCTTTCTAGTACTCTTTATATTTGAAGAGACTTATTATATTTTTATATGCTGTTTATGTTTTCAATTTGATATTCTAGGAACTTGTAATTAAAAGCATTTTAAAATCAGCAAGAGAAGAACCTTCTGGACCAGCTAGGCAAGTAGCTTTATTTCACTCTGTAATTTTTTAAAAAGTAACTTCACTGTTGACTGTCCCAAAATTCTTTAATGTAATTGACTGCTGGCTAGCTGGATGCCATCACTGCATTTTCCTGGGAATTACCTTTTAAACAATATAACGGTTACTTTGTAAGAGACAAGGTTCTCATCAGAAGTCGCTAGATCTTTCAAAGAGGCTTTTATGAGATCAGTTCGAGTGCACTTGCTTTGCCTCCGATTCCAATATCCAGGTCATGGTTTCTGATAGATATAACAGGATGGTTGGATTACTTGATTTTTGATTTTGCGATGATCTGTACTGGAGATTAAAAATTGAAGTAAGTTTTCTGAAAGCTACATTGCTTACTTTCAGATAATTTCACCACAAATCTATGAAATAGAGAATTGAACTTTATATTCTACATATTCTTGACCATACCTAGAATGCTCATATTTACGTGATGTGCATTACCATCTCTATTTTACAGATGTGTTGCACTTTGTAGCCTTGGCATTTGGCTCTGTGAAGAATTGGTACATGATACTCGCCATCCACAAATCAAAGATGCCCTAAATGTAATTTGCGTAACTTTGAAGGTGAGTGATGTTTCCATAGTGATTTTTTAAATTTCAATCCAGCTTTGGAAAAAAATACAACAATTGTAAGAATAAAGTTGTTAATGTTTTACAGTTTCCAAACAAAGCGGTTGCACAAGTGGCTTGTGATATTTTGCATTTATTGATCAATTATGTGGACAAACTTCAGAATTATCCATCAGATTCTCCAAAAAAAATTCTTGAGGTGAGAGGTATTTCTTGAGGCATTTATTGATTTTATTTCTATTGGTTAAGTGTTTGCCTGTCAAAGTATTTCCAATGAAGATTCAACCAGAAAGTTTATTCAACTAATGTTTCTTTGTGCATGACACTGTATGCTTGTATTGAGTAAGTATAGATGCTGAGATGCTGAGCTGAGATGCAGACCTGCTGAGCTTTTCCAGCAACTTTGTTTTTGTTCCAAACATAGATGCTAGTTAGTTTACGAAGAGATAAATCACATTTAATGTAGCACATTATATAGCACAATGTTGCTGAATTTAAATCTTAGAACTCCCTTCCTAACACCACTGTCTGTGTACCTACACCCCAAGGACTAGAGCAGTTCAAGAATGCAATTCACTACCACTTTCTCAAGGGTAATTAGGGATAGATGATAAATTTTGATCTCGGGATACCAACATATGAATTTAAAATTAAAATTAAAATTGTAAAGTATTCAGCGCTTTGATGGTGGAGCAAGTAAATACTTAAGGTGGTAGAGGGGGTGCCAGTCAAGCAGGCAACCCATGTCCTGGACGGTGTTGCATTCTTGAGTATTGTTATTAGCCTCTTGAGTTTTGTTGGAGCTGCACTCATTCTGGCAAGTGAGTAGTATTCCATTACATAACAAACTTGTATCCTGTAGATGGTGGACAGGCTTTGGGCAGTTACTGCAAAATTGCCAGCCTGTGACCTGTTTTTGTGACCTCACTGTTTTAAGGCTGACTCCTTTCAGTTTGGTCAATGGTAAGACCCCCATCCTGATTCTGATAGTAGGGAGTTCAACAATGGTAATGTTGATTCTTGCCTGCTAGGGATGATCTGGCGTGGCATCTGTGTGGTATAAGTGTTGCTTGCCACTTATCAGTCCAAGGCCAAATATGGCACACACATTTTTATTATCTGAGGAGTTGCAAATGAACATGTGAAATCATCACTGAGAAACCGCTTAATGTCTTTGTGATGGAGGAGAGGTCATTGAAACACCTGAAGTACACTACCCTGAGAAATTGTTGCAGCAATATTCTGGGACTGAGATGATTCACTACCAACAGCCAGAACTATCTTCCTTTGTGCTCAGTACTGAGAGTTTCCCACCAATTCCCATTGTCTTCATTTTACCAGGACTCCTTCATGTCACATTTGGGATTTACCTGGATGGCTGCATTTCACAGCAGGAAATTTGTCACTTAGTGTGAGCTCTGTTTTGTGGCTGTTGGTTCATGAGCTGTGCAAAATGATCAGGAGCCAAGAGTTGTCTACAACTGAAGCTGATTGGTTCTCAGCTAACTGAGCAGATTGGAACTGGAAACAAGTTACACAGACATGCAGTTGTTCTTAGCAGAAGCTGCCTGTTCTCCATGGTTTAACTTTGAAGAAAACCAGTTACTTTTCCTGCAGCAGTTGCTGCGAGCTGTGATATTTTGTATTGATAAATCAGAGACATTTTTCAAGGAAATCAGTTGCTGTGTACTTCTTACAAACTTAGAAGTGAAGGATATTATCAATTTGAAAAGAAAAAGATAAAATCCGGCAAGGATTAATCATAAACCAGAGGATTGGGAAACTTCAGTAAAGACTAACATCACAATAATAGAGGGAGAAACTAAGTAGAGGCCACACTATCAAGTAATATAAACGTGTACAAAAGGAGCTTTTTAAGAAAAATATATAAAAAGAGAGAGAGGCCAAAGTGAACATATAGGCCCTTAGAGAACACATTAGCTTAGCATCTGTTATATGGAAAACAACAGTCTATTCTAAATGATGTTATTATAGAGCATTTAGAATTACATAATATAATCAATCAGAGTCAACATGGCTTCATTAAGAGGAAATCATGCCTTACAAATTTGTTACAGTTGTTTGGGGAGGATTTGTAAAGAGGAAAAGCTAGATCCAATACATTTGGATTTCCAAAAGGCATTCTGTAATGTACCACACATAAGGTACTTGATGAGATAAGAGCAGATGGGGTTGGGGGTAGTATATTGACATGGATAGAGGATTGGCTAATTAAAAAGATAGTTTGGATAAAGTAGACATTTTCAGCTTGACAGTATGTAACTAGTGGAGTGCAACAAAGATTAGTGGTGAAGTCACAATTATTTACAATATCTATATTAATGACTTGGTGACGGAAGTGAATGTCCAATTACCAAGTTTAGAATGGCATAAAATTGGTAGGAAAAGCAAATAACGAAAATGATACAGAATTTACAGGGGATAAAAGCAGGTTAAGTGAGTGGGCAGAAACATAGCAGATTGAATATAAGGTGGGAAAAATATGAAGTTATGCACTTTGGCATGAAGAATATAAATGTTGAATGTTATTTAAATGGTGAAAGAGTAGAGAAAGACTGCATCAGATCTCATTTAATGTGCCAAATGGCCTACATCTGCTCCTATCTCAAATGGTTTTATAATTATATCTTCCTTGGATGATCTCCGCATTCCAACATTGTTGCATTATGTGCATTGCATTGAGCATAAAGTGAGGTGACATAGCATTATGTATCTGGGCTACTTATAAGAGAAATTAAAAGTTTCCCCTTTCAAAAATGCAGGAAGAAAAATGTAAAATTAGTGACATTAGGAACATATTTTTTTCCTATTTATTCTTTCACATTTTCAAAACTGGCTAGGCCAGCATTATTTGACCATCCCTAATTCCTACATAACAAGAAGGTGGTGATGAAATACCTTTTTGAACCATTGCACTCCATGTGGTGTGGGCATATCCAAATGTGGTAGGAAGGGAGATTGAGGAATTTCAAAGATATGCTAAATTTTAGTGCTGTAAACAGATTTGTGAAGGTAATTTTCATTCCACGGAAATACATTGGCATAGAAATAGTTGTTGTAAAATAACAAAGTGGCACACTACACAAAATAAAATTGTGTAAAAATTTGAAGGCTGAAGTAAAATTGAAGTGAAGTATTAGCAAAGGAACTTTAAACAGTGTATCTGGTATCTGAACCTACAGTTTACTGGACAAAACATTTCCATAGCATGGGAATCAAATTAAAAACGGACCTCTTTAGAAATCAGTAACGAACTTGCTCCCTTTTCTGAAATTGCTGTTTGATTCACACCCAAACGATATCGAACCCTTTTGAAGCAGACTACCCTGTTTCCACTCCTTTCTATCTTCTGTCATGCTGCCTTTGATTCTCTAGTGTAAGCAATTCCCTATCCTGATTACCCATATGCAATGCCACAGGAGATCAGTTAGTAAATCTATATGTGATTAATGCAACTAATCTTTTGTGTTGCTTCAGTAAATTTACTTTAGAGCAAAATATGAATCACAGTAAAAATCAGAAAGCTCATTGCGGTCACTAACCATCATCAATGTAATTGAATAAACTTATTTTTCTTGATCGCCTTTAAAGAGAGAACTTGTTTAAAAAAATCTTTTGAAACGTGATTATATTCTTTTATTCTTATGCATTTTTTTTCCTTGTTCTGGTAAATTATCCCTTTATGGATTATTAAGATGCCATTTATTATAAGATAAACGTCTTTTTCTTTTTGTTTAGATATTGATGGCAACAATTACTTATCTGTTACCCAGTACAGAAGTATCTCCGCATGAGCAGGATAAAAGGGTATGCACGGGGCAAGATTTATGTGGATAATAAGAAGGATATTTACAAGTTTTGGCTTTTGGTAATATTGTGTTGTGACTTATCCTTCACAGCTAGTGGTATCCCTATTGCTTTGCTTATTGGACTGGTGCATGGTGCTGCCTTTAAAAATACTCCTGCAAGCTGCCCAAGCTGCAGGGCAAGATAAGGATAATGCTGACAAATCCATTCTCAGTTGTATTTACAAGGTATACTTTAATATTATTTGTAATAATGATATATATTTAAGCCTTCACACTAATTATCTTTAGATTTTTGTAAAGTGATGCTGTTAACTCTTGAATTGATGCTTTTAGTAAATTTCTGATACTGCAAAACTGCTTGTTTCAGATCAGCATATATTTCCAACATTCAGTTTTATTTTTCAAATAATGTTCTATATTTAAACATTTATAAAAAGAGAACCAAAGACAAAGCTTTTTGTCCTGTGGTCATCAGAACTGCCATGCAAGAAACCAATCTTGGCAAGTAAGCAACAATTTATATGATATGAAAAGAGAGTAATGTGTTAGACATGGTTGGCATGGAGTTACAGCTGCTACTGTTGATAGTCGATCTCAACCGACAAAACTCAGAGCAAGAAAGTTGATTGTTATAGGTCAGAAAGTTGCATGGATAATGCTGCAGATTCTCTGCCCATCTGCATAACGCTATTCTCAATGAAAAAATGCAATGTATGGGCAAACTCCTTTTACTCACATGGGACATCTGTGTTACTATATGTAGCTTCTATCACATTCGAATGCACTGCACTGCGAGTGCAATTGATGTTAAATTGATATCCCAGTTAATTCTTAGCACAGTCAGGGATATTTAATAAATGCTGTTCAGTAGCAATATTATGTCTACTTTGGACATGGTGTTCTAAGGTTTGCAAGCTTAGGTTGCTTGAGCACAATTAACATGCTTCTCGATGCATATGGTCAAAGGGACGTGTTGTTTGATACAGATAACACAGTGTGGAGCTGGAGGAACACAGCAGGCCAGGCAGCATCAGAGGAGCAGGAAAGTTGATGTTTCGGGTCAGAACCCTTCTTCAGAAATGGGAGAGGGGGTAAAGGAGCTCAGAAATAACTAGAGGGAGGAGGCTAGGGCTGGGGAAGGTAGGTGGAATGGTGAAACGTGAGTGCAGGTAGGCAGTGGTAGGGATTGGTCTGTGAGGTGGGAGGAGCAGATAGGTGGGAGAGAAGATGGACAGGTTGTGTCAGGTCAAGGAGGCTGGGTGAGAGGAAGGTTGGTCATGGGATGGGGCTGAGGGTGGGGAGATTTTGAAATTGGTAAAGTCCACATTGAGACCATTGGGTGGTAGGCTCCCAAGGCGGAATGTAAGGTGTTGCTCCTCCAGTTTGCAAGTGGCGTCATTGTGACACTGGAGGAGGCCCAGAATGGGCATTTCGCCCAGGGAGGGGGAGCGGAAGTTGAAATGGTTCGCGACCAGAAGGTGTTGTCGGAAGGGCTGTAACAGGCATCAGTGGATGTGACAAGATTGGTGGCATCAGTGGGTGAGGTGATGGTGACCACATGGTCAGTGGCCCCAGGCACATTGTGGGGGAGATCCTGAGTAGGGTTGAGGACTTGGGGGGTCGAACCTGCTATACGGTCTACATAACAGTCCATGCACCAGAGTGAAACCCTAGGGCTCACAATTTCAAGATTGTCAGTAAGTGGGCTAGGAATGAGATGAGGAAGAACTTTTTTTCTCAGAGTTGTTTGGAATGCGCTGCCTGGCAGATTGGTGGAGGTGGATTGTGTGGAACTTTCAAAAAAGAGCTGAATATGTATTTGAAAGTGGTGAATTTAGTGGGCTACAGAGATGCGGCTGGAGAATAGGACTATCTGGGTAGCTCATTCACGATCCATGCAGCCACAATAGATCAAATTACCTCCTTCTGTCCTATAAAATTTTACGATTCTATGTATCACATTACTCATTTGTATCGTAGACAAGATGTCTTATTGGTTTTATGGCACAATCCTGTTAGTGATAAAAACTAATTGTGTTTGCTTGAAAGTAGCAATGTGAAATAGGTAGTTTCATCTGTTCAAATTTCTGAGACACCTTCCCCCTTCCAGAGTAATCTGAGAGAGATTGGCACTATTCAGGGCCAAAACTGTTGGCCGTAGGCCTTTTTATGAATTTGTCTAATGTACGGCAAGGTGATTTGAGCCATTATTGGGCAGGACAGTTTTGATCTGCCATATCTCAGTATCAAGTTTACATGATGGGTGGATGATTACAACTGTTTTTCTTGAGGTTGCCAATAACGTAAATCTTGTAACACACAGAACTGGAGAATTTTCCATGGGTATTTTGACCAGTGAATATAGGCTTTCAATAGATAGTACATAGTAAACAACCCATTAGTAGATTTCTCAACTGACACATTGAGCTTGTTGATTGTTCTGTTTCAATAGTAACTTTGAGTGCAGAACAGAGTTTACTCAGCTGTGTAAAGAAATTCCTTGAAATAGAACAATCTAATGAGCTCTCTTTCCTCATGGTGCTCATGTCAGTTTGATGCTGAGTTAAAGCATATCTAAAATAGCTTGCATATTAATAGATATCTTGTTGAGGTCATCCCTCGCGCTATATCACCCAATCTCCAGAAAGGGTGTAAGGCCCCTTGGACCCTGAACAGTGCCCAGTGTACCTCAGCATACCCTGGAAGCCAGAGGCTTCTCAAAAGTTTGACCAGTAAGCAAAGCTAGCCATTTCTCGCAGCTACTTTGAGTGAACACGAGTGGTTTCATGCTCTGACAGGATGCTACAACCAGTCAAAAAGACATCCCAAGGGAGTCCTGTAATATGAGAATCTCCTGTAATATGAGATTCACTGCTAATGTGATGACTGGAATGAAGGCTGTATGTCTCAAAGGCTGGCAGACTATTTCAAACACATCCTTTTGACAATTTACAGGCGCTGTGAGGCAGCAGTGTTAAACAGTGAGCCACCTTGCCGCCCAGTCTTATCAACAATGTTTTCACTTTGAACCTGAATTTTTTTTAATAAAGGAGATTAAAATTTATCAAAATAGATTGGAGAAATGTAATTAATATCCTGGGTCTCATGCTCAGTAATTCATTTTTCTTTAGATTCATGGCACAGTTTCTGAGCAAGGATATGAGAATACAGTGGAAATTACTTTTTTCGAGTTTTCTTTCTAAACTCATAATTTCTATTTGAGTCAGCTGATTTTTGTTCCATAAAATCAGTTTTTAGGAGAATCATGAGGGCAACAACCTCCTTGGAAATTGTATATTAATTGAATTTCTTTTAATTGGAAGTTCTGTCTGATGTATTTGTTCACTTTCATCAGAATAAGTCTTGTATTCTGTTAAAAATCAGTTGATCCAAAGAGGTAGACAAATCACAACATGTAAGAGTACATTCAAATTTGTATTTTTAATAACTGTGGTAACAGTTCCTATCTGTTTGTATATCTGTGTATGATCAAAGAATAAATTATGATTTTTCTACATGCACAACATTTATAGTTATTTAGTACCATCATCCTATTAGTTTTACAATCGCAGAGAGACTCTTTATTTTTCTTTTCTTTTTCAAAGTTGGTTTCTGTAATTTCATAAATTAACCCATGATGATCCATAGGGAGAAAGTTAATTGTTTGGTAACATTAACAGTGATGAATGTTTGTCTTTATTTGTGATGCATCTAAACATTCTTTTTGTACAGGTGCTGCATGGCTGTGTATATGGAGCGCAATACTTCAGTAATCCTAGATACTTCCCTCTGAACTTATCAGATCTTGCCTCTGTTGAATATGATCCATTTTTACATTTGGAAAGCTTGAAAGAACCAGAGCCTTTGCATTCCCCTGATTCTGAGCGATCATCAAAACTTCAAACTGTCACAGAGGGTATGTACCAAGATAACCAAAAACATCTATCAGAAACCTTAAAAATAACAAAGGAGCATCTTGTGTATGGTCGGGTTGCAAAGATCACATGTTCAATCCCACCAAGAAATTCAATTCCTAAATCTAATCATCTATGGGCTAGAATATTACTATTTCCTTTTTTAAAAAAATGCTAGTTCATCTTTTTGAAGTGCTACACCCTAGTCTGATTTGATTTGATTTACTATTGTCACATGTGCCTAAGTACAGTGAAAAGTTTTCTTTTGCATGCAGTACGTGAAGATCATAACGTACAAGGACATACAGATCATAGGGTGCTTAGACAGAGCAAGGCATACAAGACTATGGCTGCACAGGAGATGCACAAAAGAAAGATCAACATTAGATTTGAAATTAGAGACATCCATTCAGCATGTCTAACAACACTGGGGAAGAAGCTGTTCTTGAACCTATTGGTACATGTATTTAAACTTTTGCAACTTCTACCTGACGGAAGAGTTTGGAAGAGAGTATATCCGAGGTGGGAGGGGTCTTTGATGACGTTGGCTGCCTTTCCACAGCAACAGCAAGTGTAGGTGGAGTCCATGGATGGGAGGTTGGCTTGCGTTATGGCCTGGGCTGTGTTTACAACTTTCTGCAGTTTCTTACGGACCTGGCCATAGCAGTTGCCGTACCAAGCTGTGATGTACCCAGGTACATTGCATTCTACGGTGCATCTGTAAAAGTTGGTGAGGATCTTTACAGACATGCCAAATTTCCTAAGCCTCCTGAGGAGTAAGAGGCACTTTTATGCCTTGTTGACCGTCACATCTACGTGGGAGGACCCGGCCAGATTGTTGGTCATTATCACTCTGAGGAACTTGAACGCTCTCTATCCTCTCCACCTCAGTTCAATTGATGTAGATGGGGGCGTGTCCTCCTCTTTCTTTCTGAAGCCAATGACCAGTTCTTTAATTTTGCTGACATCGAAGGAGAGATTGTTATTTTGCACCACAACAGCAAGCATTCTATCTCCTTCCTGTATTCTGACTCATCGTTGTTTGATATCCCGCCTACATCGGTGGTGTCGTCAGTGAGCTTGTAGATGGTGTTCTGATGAAATTTGGCCACACAGTCATGAGTGTATGGGGAGTACAGCTGGAAGCCGAGAACACATCCTTGCAGGGCACCAGTGTTGAGGATTATTGTGGAGGAAGTGCTATTGTCTTTCTTCACTGATTGCAGTCTGTGGATCTGAAAGATGAGGATTCAGTTGCAGAGGGTGGAGCCAAGACCTTGGTCTTGGGGTTTGGTTGGGATTATAGCGTTGAAGGCTAAGCTGTCGTCGATAAGTAGGAGCCTGACGTAGGTATTCTTATTATCCAGATGTTCCAGGGATGACTGTAGAGCTAGGGAAATAGTGTCTGCTGTGGACCTGTTGCACTAGTAGGCAAAGTGCAAGGGATCAAGGCAGGCTGGGAGGCTAGAGTTGATGTGAGCCATGACCAATCTCTCGAAGCACTTCATAATTATGGAGATCACAGCCATCAGGCAGTAATCGTTGAAGCACGTTGCATATGTTTTCTTTGGTACGGGTTGACAGTGGTATTGTTGAAGCAAGTGGAGACTTCAGGTTGTAGCAAGGAGAGGTTGAAGCTGCCAACGAATACTCCCGTCAGCTGGCCCACACAGGATCTGAGTGCATGGCTGGGTACTCAATCTGGGCCAGTTACTTTCCTCAGGTTCACTCTCAAGGAAGCCGATCTGACATGTACAATGGTGACTGCAGGAACAGGCTGTTAGGGCAGGTGACTGTTCCACTGGCATTCTGCTTGAACCGAGCGTAAAAAGCATTGAGCAGATCAGGGAGGGATGTGTTTTGTCTACTATTAATGAATCATAGAATCCGTACAGTGTGGAAGCTGGCCATTCAGCCCACCAAGTCCACACCAATCCTCCGAAGCGCATCCCACCCAGGCCCACCCCCATCCCCGTAACCCTGCATTTCCAATGGCTGATCCACCTAGCCTGCACATTCCTGGATACTATGGGCAATTTAGCATGGCAAATCTACCTAGTTGCCCAAGGGTGGAATCGAACCCAGGTCCCTGGCACTGTAAGGCAGCAGTGCTAACCACTGAGCCACCATGCCACCCAGTCTTATGAACAATGTTTTCACTTTGAACCTGACTTTTGTTTTTAATAAAGGAGATTAAAATTTGTCAAAATAGTTTGGAGAAATGTAATTGATATCCTGGGCCTCATGCTCAATAATTCAATTTTTTTAGATTCATGGCATGGTTTCTAAGCAAGAGTATGAAAATGATCTTGTTTGAATTTTCTTTCTAAACTCGTAATTTTTATTTGAGTCAGCTGATTTTTGTTCCATAAAATCAGTTTTTAGGAGAATCATGAGGGCAACCAACCTCCTTGGAAATTGTATATTAATTGAATTTCATTTAATGTATTTGTTCACTTTCATCAGATTAAGTCTTGTATTCTGTTAAAAATCAGTTGTTTTCCAAAGAGGTAGACAAATCACAACATGCAAGGGTACATTCAAATTTGTATTTTTAATAACTGTGGTAACAGCTCCTGTCTGTTTGTATGTCTGTGTATGATCAAAGAATAAATTATGATTTTTCCCTATAGTGTGGAAGCATGCTATTCAGCCCAGCAAGTCCACACCGTACTCCAAAGAGCATCCCACCCAGACATGCATCTTCCCCTCTGCCACCCTATCCCTGTAACCCTGCATTTCCCGTGGCTAATCCACCTAGCCTGCCCATTCCTGGACAATATGGGCAATTTAGCATACCAATCCAGCTAACTTGCACGTCTGTGGTCCAAGGCAAAATTAGGTTTATTGTTAGTCTGGTGTTTGGTTATGCTGTTACCAGGAGTTTAGATTCTTTGACAGCAAGCATCAGAAATGTGCAATTAAGAACTCTGCACAGATCAGATGAATTTTGGCCATGACTGGGCCATTAAGAAGTCAGTTCCAAATTGACACCTAGTTTCGATCTCTCTGGTCAAGGATCCATTATTCATCTTGGCATACATTTGGGGCTGTTGGCACCTTCACCAGTGTAACAATTTAATGAGTGTCCTTCTGTCATCTGCTCATGTTTTGAATTGTCTAGTCAAAAAGATGGAAGAAGTGACTAGGCAATTACAGGCATGAAATTTACAAATATCATCGTTTATCCTTCTCTAAGTGTCTGGTACAGTTGCCAACTTAGAAATCATGTGATCTGTAGCAACCGTTTTAGTCTGGTCCTGGTGCCTTGTCAAATTAAGCACAGACAGTCAAATCAATACCATCTCTTGAGCAATGTTAAATGCTTCTAGCAACTGCATTTCCTCCTCTTTCACCAGAACCTGGGTGGAATCTTCCTCCTTGGTTAAAGACAGATGCAAATCCATGGTGGAACAACTTGAACAATATGTTCAGGTTTTGTCATCCGATTTCTCAGTAAGGATGTTAGGTTTTTAGAAAGCAGTCAAAAGAATAACCAGGGTGACTCCAAGGCTGTGGAGGATTGTTACAAAAAAAAGCTTAAGCTGTGAACACATTCCCATTGACTGTGGGAGAAGTGCTGTTTAATATTACAAATGACAGGATATCAAGATTGATACAAGTGAAAAGGAATTTCAGAGTTTAGGGTGGATGATGCAAGTACAAAATTCACAAGATAAGAAAGAAGTTACAAGTACAACATTCATGGATTGAGAAAGAGATGAGAAGTCACTGCCACAAGCATGTAAACAGTTGATTTGTGATCATTTGACATCTGCAAAATAATTCTTGCCTGATAGCTGTGCAAGATACTGATTAAGACCTCCAGTTATATTAATACTACCTGATCTTTTTCCCCATGGGTTGTGGAGTAAGTACCCTCTAAAGTAAAGAAATTAACAATTAGCAGCAGGACGTCTGTGGAGTGAAAAATGAAAAGAAAAACTCAAGCAAGCACCAGCACGATAGTTATTCCATTCCAATGTAGTCTCTGAACGGAATAACTGATGTTGCTGATTCCCTGGGTTTATCTTGACCTTTTCTTGCCCCCATTCTTTGTTTTTCAATTTTATTCCTTTCTGATTTTTATTTCCCAGTTAATAAAATTATTCATTCTCAACTTTTTCTAATTTCATCTTATGCTATGATTTTGTTTTCTTACTTGCAGTTTTAGAGCTGACAGCAGGTCAATCAAGATGAATGACATTCCTGAAAGCCCAATAGTCTTCTATTGAAGTTAGAGTCATAGAGATATACAGCAAGGAAACAAACTTTGGTCCAACTCGTCCTTGCCAACCAGATATCCTAAATAATTCTAGCCCCTTTTGCCAGCATTTGGCCCATATCCCTCTAAACCCTTCCTGTTCATTTACCCATCCAGATGTCGTTTAAATGTTGTAATTCTATCAGCCTCCACCTCTTCCCCTGGCAACTCATCCCACATACGCACCACCCTCTGCATGAAAAAGTTGCCCCTTAGGCCCCTTTTAAATCTTTCTGTTCTCATCTTAAACCAATGTCCTGTAGTTTTGGACTTCCATACCCAGGGAAAAGACCTTGTCTGTTCACCCTATCCATGCCACTCATGATTTTATAAACCTGTATAAGTCACCCCTCAGCCTCCAACGCTGCAGGGAAAACAGCCCCAGCCTATTCAGCCTCTCCCTTTGGCTCAAACCCTTCAACCCTGGCAACATCCTTGTAAATCTTTTCTGAATCCTTTCAAGTTTCACAACATCCTTCCTGTAGCAGGGAGACCAGAATTGCACACAGTATTCCAATAGTTATCTAACCAATGTCCTATACAGCTGCAATATGACTTCCCAACTCCTATGGTCAGTGCACTGACCAATAAAGGCAAGCGTACCAAATGTCTTCTTCACTATCCTATCTACCTGTGACTTCACTTTCAAGGAACTATTGATGGAGCCCGGAGAACACCGGCTCCAGTTATCAGATTATACAGAGAGGAAAAGAGTCGATTCTCGTAACCTCACAAATT